CAATAATTTATTGCAATTTTTAATTTGCCAACAGCATAGAAGCTTTGCTTCTGAAGTTATTAAATATGCTTATCATTATTTGCACTTTCTCAAGTCCAAGCATAATAAACCTCTAAGCTTAAATCCGATAAATCACTACAATTAAGATATTGCATTGTCTTTCGGTGCAAAAAACATTTTGCTTCACATAGAAAATCCTCTTCTATTATTTCCAGATACAAATCTCTCTACATTTAATATGATGCAATATCTTGTCCCTACAGCCCAGGTTATTTACTTTCAGGAAAGAGTACTACAAATTCACATCCTGCTTTCTTCACATTTCAGCAGCATTCTTGCAGGAACAGGTATCTCAGCCCATAAGTCACCCACTCATCTCTGAGAGTTCATTGATAGAAAGCTCTAAAGAAACCTGTCACATCTTGTAAAAGAGAATCTTCCTATGTTATATTCTAAAAAATTTACTTTTTGATACTTGAAAGACAAATGTTTAGGTAAAGTTCATTACATCTGAATAGAAGGATTTTCAGTGACATATTTGATCATTACACAAATGTTTATCTCATTGTTTTCATATTGAATGCCACAAAGCATTTTTTTAAGTTCATCTTTTTTTTTTTCATTTATTTATTTGACAGATAGAGTTATACAGTGAGGGAGAGAGACAGAGAGAAAGGTCTTGTTTCAGTTGGTTCACTCCCCAAATGACTGCTATGACTGGAGCTATGCCAATCCGAAGCCAGGAGCCAGGTGCTTCCTCCTGGTCTCCCATGCAGGTGTAGGGGCCCAAGCACTTGGACCATCCTCCACTGCCCTCCTGGGCCACAGCAGAGAGTTGGACTGGAAGAGGAGCAACCAGGAATAGAACCTGGCACCTATATGGGATGCCGGCGCCACAGGCAGAGGATTAACTAAGTGAGCCATGGCGCTGGCCCCAAATTCATCTTTTATTTTGAAAGTCAAACACAGTACCACTCTGGTTTTTCTTTTAGTGTGTTGATTCAATCTGAGTATAATTGTTATTTCTAACAGCACACAATAAAGATTTGAGAAAATGAAATTTAAAAAATAGTGATTTAAATATGGAATTAGTTTCAATAAACATGTGGTTGATATAAAATATGTTATAAGGGCCAGAGTGCTGTTTAGGACATCTGCCATTCTATGAGTCTGCTGTGTATCCCACTTCCCATGTTGGATCATTCTCTCCCTTTTTTATTCTCTCGGTTAGTATTTGTAGACACTAGTCTTGTTTATGTGATCCCTTTGGTTCTTAGTCCTATCATTCTGATCAACTGTGAACAGAAATTGATCACTGGGACTAGTGAGATGGCATTGGTACAAGCCACCTTGATGGGATTGAATTGGAATCCCCTGGTATGTTTCTAACTTTACCGTTTGGGGCAAGTCAGCTTGAGCATGTCCCAAATTGCGCATCTCTTCCCTCTCTTATTTCCACTCTCATATTTAACAGCGATCACTTTTCAGTTAAGTTTCAACACTTAAAAATAACTGTGTATTGATTACAGTATTCAACCAAAAAGTATTAAGTAGAACAAACAAACAAAAAAAAATACTAAGAGGGATAACGTATTAAGTTGTTCATCAACAGTCAGGGCAAGGGCTGATCAAGTCACGTTTCTCATAGTGTCCATTTCACTTTAACGGGTTTCCTTTTTGATGCTCAGTTAGTTGTGAGAGATCAGGGAGAACATATGATATTTGTCCCTTTGGGACTGGCTTATTTCACTCAGCATAATGTTTTCCAAATTCCTAACAGGGATCACAGTTCAGTTAAAATCATAATCAGCCCTTAAGGCATACGGATCCGGCTGAAAAGCCCATGAGAGTATTTCAGGCATGGAAAGCCAGGACACTCTGGCAAAAAAAACAAACAAACAAACAAACAAAAAAAAACAAAACACCTAAATGAAAGATCTCCGCGAGTGAGATCCCAGTGGAAAAAATAGGTCATCAAAGAAGGAGGTATGTGGGGAGCAACTCGGACTAGACTAAGTTACTGGACTTATTCTATGCATCTGCTTTCCCACAATATGGCGCTGGGAGAGGAGTAAACAACTTTTACACAGCTGCCTCCAGTTTGACCAATAACCTGCAGGAGCTGATCCTGCTCCTGATTGGAGGAGAGCAGCGTACTTGGCATGTGGGTAGCAGAGTTGGGATTGGTGGAAGAGGACTATAAAGGAGGAGAGAGACAACATGCACCAGGAACATCTAAGGGGAACATCCGGATAACATCTGAGCAGCCCCCGAGAGAGCCGGCCGGCGGTGTGCCGCTCCCCCGCGGAAGTGGGGAAAGTGGCAGGGGGAGCCGCCCTTCCACGGAGGTGGAAGGATCGGCAGCCAACCCGGGAAGAACCAGCAGCAAACCCGGAAAGGGCCGAGCAGACAAAAGAACAGCGCAGGGTCTAGTGTTCCTCCACAAAGAGGGGAAGCGACAGAGGTACCTTTCTCTGAAGGGAGGAGAGAACTTCAACTTTGACTACGACCTTGTCTAAATATGATCAGAGTTGGTGAACTCAAAGGCTTCCATAGCCTTGACAGCTCATGACAAGAGCCTAGGGTGATAACTGATGCCATAAACAAGAGTGTCAATTTGTTAAGTCAACAACAAGAGTCACTGTGCACTTACTCCTCATGTTGGATCACTGTCCTTAATGTGCTGTACATTGTGATTTAATGCTATAACTGGTACTCAAACAGTATTTTTCACTTTGTGTTTCTATGTGAGTGCAAACTGTTGAAATCTTTACTTAATATATGCTAAACTGATCTTCTGTATATAAAGGAATTGAAAATGAAAAAAAATATTTTATAAGGGCAAAAATGTGCATATCTAAAGTACATATACATCAGAGATATTTACCGTTGTGTAATACTTAATCCTTAATTTTGAAGTTAAATTATATAATTCTAGTGTAAATTTGAACATGTTTTCAATAAATGATATTCCACATGAGATAACTGAATTGGTTGCATAAATATTTTATCTCCAAATTCCCTATTCTTTTTCTGTTATTATAGCACACAAATTTCCTGGAAAATAGTAAATGCTCAAGTAATTTTTAAACTAAGCTTGGAATACTGTGTACTATACCATAGACACACACACACACACGCACGCACACACACACATAGATATAGGCTCACATTTACACTTATGCTATACTACAAAACAAAGTGTGACTTACTGCAATTTCCTTCACTAATCTTGCAGAACTGAGTTTCAAAATTTTCAAGTTGATAGTTATGCTGTACAAATGGATAGAAACATTCCTATTTTCTTTGCATGCTTAGCCCTGTGGTAAAAATATATGTACCAGACTTCTACAACTTGATAAAATCCATTGAGATTTTTCAAACTTGAAAAAAAAAAAATTCCAGGGCCATATAATAAAACTTACAACAATAAAATGATTAGTTAGAAAGAAAGACTACATGAATTACATGGATTATTTTGATTCATATCCAGTTATATTTCTATGTGTAAATTAATAGCATGTCATTTTTCTTAAAGTAAATGATGTACTGTTGGGAAACTTTGTTGGGAATGTAAACTAGTACATCCCTCATGGAAGACAGTATGGAGATTCCTCAGAGATCTGAAAATAGATCTACCATTTGACCCAGCCATCCAACTCCTGGGAATTTACCCAAAGGAATTTACATCAGCATACGCAAGAATTATTTTTACCCCCATGTGCATTGCAGCTCAATTCACAATAACTAAGATATGTAATCAACTCATATGTCCACCAGTTGATGACTGGATAAAGAAAGGTTACACAAACACAGTGGAATACCACTCAGCCATTAAAAAGTTAAAATTCTGTCTTTTGCAACAAAATGGAGGCAATTAGAGACCATTATGTTCAATGAAATAAGCCAGTCCCCAAAAGACAAATATTTTATGTGTTCTCTGATATGTGATAGTTAATATTAAATAGCAAAAAGGTATTAAAATGATATTAAAGCTGATATCTTACAATTTGATATGATTATTGTTTTTAGCTCTTGTCTATACTCCTGTGGAACAGTGATATCTCAACTATTTTCTTGTTGAATCTTATGGCTAGTGGTAAATTGAGCCTGCAATTGTAAAGTCAATTGAAAGTATGTTACTGAAAAATCAAGAAAAAATAAAGGAAGAAAGGGAGGATGGGAGTTTGAGAGAGGGAGAAGGAGAGAAGTATAGTTATCTTCTTAGAACTGGGTCTATGAAATACATTAAACCTGTTCTTTTTATATTAGTAAAATTTGTAAAAAAGAAAGTGATGGGCAAAATTCTCAGTGAATATATGAGTATGAAAATGCACTTTTAGAGAAAACTCATGGAACTTAGAAGAATATTTCTTCTTGACTTACCAAGGATAAGTGATAAAATTCTAATTCTAGGATTTTGGCATTACCAACAATTCAGTTCTATCCTTTCTTAAATGGTGAAATAGCAAGTCACATTGGTGTTAATGTAAATTAATCATAAATAAATAAATTTGATCTAAAAGAAAATCCCAAATCCCATAATCTCTATGGATTATTCTTTAGTAGAGAGAATAGTGAAAAATTACACAGACTGTTATCTATGACTAATCCAAGCAATCAGGAAGCTAAAAATTAATTTTAATTATCAAATAAAAATAAATATTACTTATGTAGCAAATACAGTGATGTCTTGAAATTTGTATTATGGAATGACTCAATAGACATTAGTACGCATGTATAACCATTTAGGGGGTGCAAGAACAGATATTGAGTAAAATGAAAAATAACGTTAACATAAATTTAAGCTGATTTTAGTATTTTTTCATTTTTCTAAATTTACTACTTATTTGAATGGCAGCGAGATAAAAAGAGACAGAGAGATATAGATTGCCCTCTCATTTGTTGGTTCATGCCCCAGATACCATAGTTACTGCAGATATGCTGTGGCCAGAGCCCCAAGCCAGAAATTCAACCCTGGTCTCCCATGTGGCTTTCAGGAACCTATTTACTGAATCCTCATTGCTGCCTCCCAGGATCTAAATTAGGAAGCAGGAGTCAGAAAACAGAGGTGAGTATCAAACCCAGCCACTCTGGTATGGGATATGTGTGTTTTAATGCTAGAGCAAATACTGATTCCTGCTTTTATTTTTTTTTTTTTCCTGAGCAACTGGAAGCTGTTGGAATATTTGAAACTATATATGTGAATCTCTTTACATTTCTCTTGGGTAATGCCATTCTAAGGAAAGATGAAAGTAGATGACATTTGTTTATCTACTTTTTGGATCTGGTAGATTTCATTCATACACCTGAAGATTGGTTGGTCTTCCTCTTTCCCTTAAGTGTTTGCACGAGTCTAGAGGCTGCACTATTTTGGAGGTTGGGAGTTAACATGACCAGTGACTTGAGTTTCTATGGTTAAATACTAATTATTAAGAACAGTTTCCTTTGGGTGCTATAATTTTGTTCTTAATAGAATGGAGTGAAGAGGAAATATCAAAATTTCCAGTCAGTTGAGAAGATGGAGTCTCAGAATAGTTAGTGGCACACAAAGCCCAGCGAGCAACTAGCTGATGTTAGAGAACCCAAAATAAAGGGAACCTCAGGACATTTGATGACTTGATTGTTAAAAGAATCTCAGTCTCCTCCTCCCACCCACTCACTCGGAGTGTCCACAATCTCCAAATCTAAGGAAGGACAGACAGGAAATTCCGATGGCTCAGCATTCAGGCTTCGCTTTTGTCTGCTGGGGTTTGAAATTTGTCTCTGTGACTCATCACCTGGTTCGCTACACAGTTAACCGTATTTTAAATACTTAGTGGGTTGATTCTTTTTTATTTTTCTTTTGTGGTAGAAACATGAGATATATCCTCCTAAAATCCTTTAGTGTATGATATTGCTAATTGTAAGCACACTGTATACCAGGTCTGTGAGAATTTTCTTGTCTGAACTCCATAATCTTTGAACAGTAACTCTCCATTGCCCCTCACTCCAGCTCCTGGAAAACTTCATTCTACTCTCCTGTGAGTCAAACTACAGTAGATACCTTCTGTAAGTTAAGCCACATTATATTTGCCATTCAGTGATTGGCTTACTTCTCTTAACAGTATGTCTTCAATATTTATCCATAGTGTAGCACTTAATAGAATTTGAAGATATACATTTGGGACAGTAATAGTTCATTAATTCTAGATTATTTGTGGAAACCAAACAAAGACAATACAAATCTTATACCACATTTATGGATCATTTTATGTGACTATTTAGTAATTTTAATAACAGGTTATGTATATTATGTAAAAAAATACACACAAAAAAAAAACCTACTCTGGCTGGTGCTGTTGTGTAGTAGGTTAAACCTCTGGTGCCAGCATGGCATATGGGTGCTGGTTCTGGTCCTGACTGCTCCTTTTCTGATCTAGATCTCTATTATGGGCTGGGAAATCAGTAGAAGATTGCCCAAGTCCTTGGGTCCCTGTACCCACAAAGGAGGCCTGGAAGAAGTGCCTGACTCCTGGCTTTGGATCTGCCCAGCCCAGTTTTGGCCTTTACAGATATTTGGCGAGTGAACCAGAAGAGGGAAGACCTCTCTCTGTCTCTCCCCGGTGTCTGTCTGTAACTGTGCTTTTCAAATAAATAAAGAAATCTTAGAAAAAAAAAAAAAAACTAGTAAACAATCCTCAATGTGGAGAGAGAAGACAGTATATTCAAAGATTCAGAGGGTACGTCCTCAGTTTTGAAAAAAGAACAAGATGAAATTACAGCTCTTCTCAACTTGAATGGACTTTAGACAGTTTTCTGCCTAACTCTGGGCCTCTGACCTCCTTTTTCTTGAACTGCTTACTTTAGAGAACTTGCAGCTATAAATTCTTTCCCTGGCCTTTTGAGGCATATGCACAACTTTTTAAAAAGACTTTTGCCAATTTTAGGATTCCAGGCTGTCTCCTAAGAGCGTGAGAGCCATCCCTTTGACGTGTGCAGCACCCGTATCTCCCAGTCTCTGTGGGAGGGTGGGAGCCTAACTTTGGTAGGAATCAGTTATCAAACCCAGATGGCTTAGTTATAAAGAAAAACATTTGCAAAGTCAGGAATAGCTCATTCTGCTCTACACATTCCACTGACAGATCCCCTAAACTCTCCAGTATTTTTCCACTACTTCTGTTTTCTAGCCTTTATTTCAGCCAAGTTGTGATCAGACCTCAATGCTCCAATTTAGTAGAATTGGGTAATATTTTCCTTGACTTGACAATTTAACTTTGATTGGTGAATATTTTACTTTAACAAGCAAAATATCTTAGTATATGAACTACATTATAAAAAGTAATGGTTCTGGTAATATTTTGAAAAGAAGGATAATTGTAAAAATAATTTAAGCAAAATCTCACAGGTCAAAGAGAAAGTAAAGTACATTATTTTAAAAGATTCATAATTTCACAGTGTGTCTTTGGGTTATAAAAAGTCTAACTGAAACATTTTGATCTTCTACTACTTTTCCAAATTTAACTTAATAATAGACTCAATAAAGGCATTAAGGCTCTCCATCTTCCTATTTCTATTGTTTTCTACTATTACAACCTTCATTTTTCTTCCTTTGTATATATCTTTTTTTCAAATTTATAGGAAGTAAATTAGAAATAAATTCTTCTCTGTAATCACTGAATTTCTTCAATTTTTAAAATTTGGATTTAAGTCAAAAAGCAAATCAGTGTACTATGATAGTAGTGTTAGTTTATGTAAATGTGAGTAAAGTGTGTTTAATTATTTACATAAATAACTGCAATGTAATTAAGACTCAGATTGTGAAAGATGTCGTTGACAGTGTTGTATTGGAAATGAATGAGTAGATATCAAATTCATTTGTGATAACCAGAACAGATGCTAAGTAAATTATCTAAACATGATCATTTTCTATGCAAAGGATGGGGAAAGGCATTTCAGGTAAATGAAACTCTTCGAGTCTATTTGTAAGTAAAGTGATCAATCATAGGACTTTAGTCAGGTTTGTTGTCTATGAGGTAAAATAGGGTACTTATGGGATATAATGCTATTGGGGCAAACGGAAAGTTCAAGGACAGACCTGCTCCATGTGTACTTAATTGGAAATCCTTAGTTTTTCCAAAGCAAGTATGTGACATGATTAAAGACCTCGTCAGCAAGATGTTGCAAAGATGTTTGCAGAACTGAGGCAAAACCAATCCAGTTTGTAGAAAGAAAAAAAGAGAAGGAGCACAGAGGACTTTTAGGGAAATGAAAGCATTGTGTATTATAATACAGTGGTGAATATCTGTCATGTCATTATATTTTTATCAAAACCCATAGAATATACAACTCTAAAAATGAATATTAATGTAAACCCTGAATGTTGGATAATGATGATGTATCAACATTGGTCATCAATAGTTGCAAAAACATCATTCTAGTGAGTAATGTTGATGGTGGGGAGGTTGTGAATGTGTGACAACCGGCTTCTGTTCCATTTTGCTGGGAACCTAAAACCATTCCAAAAATAAAGGCTGTTAAAACAATAAACTTTAATTATTATTTTTGGGAAGGGTGGGAAAGAAAAAGAAAGTGAGAGAAAGATAACAAGTCCCTCAGTTGGTTCACCACCCAAATGCCAAAAATATTCTGAGATAGGACCAAAACCAGGAGTCAGGAACAGAAGTCTCCCACGTGGGTAGTACAAACCCATATTTGAGCCACCGCCAATGCCCCTGGCAGCCTGATTTGGCTGAAAGCTGAAATCTGGACCTGGAACCAGTATTCAAACCCAGGCACTCTGATTTGGGAAGCTTAACCATTAGACTAAACATCCACTTCCCAAACTCACTTCTAAATTTACTGAACAAAACACAGTAAGAAAATAAACCAGATTAGAGTAACTTCTACCAAAGTGTCAATGGGAATGAGGTGAAATCTACAATAAGTGTTTATGGGAAAAGGGTAAAGACTGTATATTTTGGAGATATGAACAAAATTAAAAAACACAGAGGAAAGGGAAGATTAAGAAAAATGATCATGATTTTGGTTTTTAATAAAATGCCTATATAGAAATATAGTACTGATTATAAAATAAAATGTTAGTAAGAATCGAAAGCAAACATTTACAGTGGCTAAAAATCAAATAAATGTCCAATACCTTTTTTTTAATGGCCCCTAAACTACAGGTGCTTACAGAAAACACAACCAACAAGAACTCATGAGCACTGAACAACAATATCCCCAGGCAATTAGATGAAAAACCACAGTTGCCAAAAAAAGATCAATTAAAGAATGAAATTAAATAAAAGTAACTACAATCTGGTAAAAATTGAATATTTTTTGAATAAGAGAACTGAAAAAAAAAAAACAATCTCAAGTCTTCGCATTTTGTGTATTATCTAACAGTTTTAGAACAACATTAAAATAAATTTAAAAGTAAATCCATCTACATTTATATGAATTTTTTTTATTTCTTAGAGTTGCTTTCCAGTCTCTGCCATACCTTAATGCATCCAAATTTAGTATCTGAATCATTTCTATGCATTATCATTTTAAATATTATATATATATATACACATATACCCAGGTTTCTGAAAAATCACATAATTAATAAACCAATAACCAATAGTCTTAATATATCCTCAGTTTTTAATTAATGTCTTCTTTTACTTCTGACTTCTCACTCAAGATCTGACATTTAGAATCTATTTATCCTTAAGCTTTTAAAATATTTTCATGTCGTAGAGGGCGTTGATAGTGTTGATATGTAATCATCAGATTTATAAAATGTCTCTCATTCAGAATATCAGTTTTTCCCTCAAGATAAGACTGATGTTACGGGATTTGGAGAGGAAGAACAAAAAAATAAAGTACCATTGTCATACTGTAGCAGAGAGACCATCTATCCAGGAAACTAGAAAATGAGGATGTTCATTTTGAACACCTGGCTGGAAAGTTTCTGAAAGTTTTCTCCACTGTAAAGATTTCATTTCTCCCCCCTACCATCCTTTACTCTTTGAAAGAATGTAACTAGACATATCTTAAATTTATAGATTGGGTGGCAGAAGCTTGGCCTACCCTACCAGTTAA